ACATGGAAGGAATCTGAACAGTTCTTCTGTGCCTTTATGTACTGCGAAAGGATTGTCACTCCATCACAAAATATCTCCATAACCTACAAACACTATGTAGTGAAATTAGTTGAATTACCTATGAACCTAGACTCTGAAAGAATAAGTGTGGCCAAAGACCTGGCCCTGAGTCATTACTTAAGGCCTTGTTACCTTGGCTCTTCCTATCCATTTACACTATTTGTGGTGCTCAGTATGGGCCCTCAACACAGTGAAGGAGGCTATTGGAGGTATTTCTCCACCTCCCATTTACCCTGTATATATCTTATATATAGTTGTTGGCATATGGCCTCCCCCATAAGGCTGTGAGCTCTATGAGGGTAAAGAATATGTTTTCATTTTTCTCTGTATGTCCAGGGCTTAGCGTAGTGCCTGATACATAGTAAATGATAATAAATGATTTTTTTGACTGGCTGACTTCTCCTTTGAACAACTTTTTGGCACCCTTGCCAAACATTTATTTCTCACATAAGGTGTCTATGAAGACACCTTTCATGCTGTGCTTTGGCCAGCCAGCTCTCCCCACTGCCTCCCAAGCCCACCCTCTTAAGTCAGAACCCTGATTGTAGACACTGTCCGCCATCAATTCTTACCCTTTTTGTACCATGATAGATTATCCAGGAATTCTTACTCAGCCATTATCTTTAGAAAGGGTCTGATAAACTCATTCATGCTAAGATGGCAAGTGCTTAATGTGTTATTCCTTCAAGGAATATCGTAGTTACACTTTTATAGGGAAAACTCATGAAATTAGAGAATCACAGAGCTCAGAGGCCAATTAACCCATGTCTGAAAAAAGACTCTCCTCTGCAAAATGCTCAATGAATAGATATCTAACCTTTGCTTGAAAGCTTCTAGTGAAAGGAATCCTCCTAAAGCAAGAGGTGGCCCCTTCCTTTCTTAGGTGGCTAAACTTGTTGGGAAGGTTTTTCTCGTTTTAAGTTTAAATATTTAAAATAAGGAAAATCTGCCCGAACTGTCATTTATTGATCCTAGCTCTGCTGTTGGAGGTCAATAGAACAAATTTAGTGCCTCTTTCACATGCTAGCCCTTCAAATACTTAAAATCAGCTTTCTTCCTACCAAAGTCTTCTCTTCTCCATGTTGCACATTCCCAGGTTCTCCAATTGGTCCTCTTGTGCGGTGTTGTCAAACTCAAACAGAAATGGATACCTGCAGGTCACGTGTATTTTAATTTATTTTGTTAAATATTTCCCAATTATGTTTTAATCTGGTTTTGGCTGCCCTCAGGGGTTTCTCGGGGCTCTCTGGTGGCGTGTTTGATACCTCTGTTCTTATGGGTGATCTCAAGACCTTCACCACTCTGATTGACTATCTCAGATGCTCTCCAGCTTATTAAAGTCCTTCCTAATATATGACAAGCTAAACTGAATGCAAGACTCAGATTTAGTCTGAGTAGGGCAAGGTATACGTTTTTATCCTTTCTTTTACTTTTAAACCCCTCTTCATGAGGTCCATTCCCAGCTTAGGGTTTGTTTTGCTTATGACCAATCCCTTCCTGAATCTATGGTCCTTTTTACTCCTCCCTTTCCTCTCTTCGTGTTCTCCACCCCACCCCTCCCCCCATCCCATATTTCCCTTTTGAGTTGAATACATTTGACTAGTTCAGATGAAAGGAAGACACTTCCCCCGTCCCTTCTTCATCTATATAGTTTTCTACTTGAATATCCCAATTATATGAAATAACAATTTCTATTGTCCTTATTCCCTATTTCTTCCCTAGTGTATCCTTTTCCTTCTTCCTTTCTTCTTTTATGAAATGCTTGGGAGTGTTCATTTTGGCATTTTTTAAAGGAGGTGACTGGTGGATTCTTTGTATTTTCTTTTTACCTTCGTGTTTGAGTATGTCTGGCAGTTTTCTTTCATGATTTCTTGAAATATGACATCTAGGCTTCTTTTTTTTTTATGGCTATCAGGTAGTCTAATGTCTCTGGAATTTTCTCTCCTTGTTCTGTTCACCAGGTCAGTTGTTTCTTTCTATCTTTCTTTCTTTCTAGCTTTCTTCTTTCTTCTAGCTTTTCAATGTTTTGATTTTGTTTGGATGTTTCTGGCTTCACTGAATAATTAACGTTTCTTTGGCACATTGTACTTATCAAGGAGCCTGTTACTTGGGAAAGGTTTTATATGGCTTTTGCTAAACTGTTAATTAATTCTTTTTCCAAGTGTTTCTTCTATAGTTCTTGTTTCATTCCCAATTCTTTGCTCTAGCACTCTCATTTCATCTGTAATAGTATTTTAACATTTTTTTTAAAGTTCTTGCTTTATTTCTTCTAGGAGTTCTAATTGATCTTGTGGTCAAACTGTCTTGTTCTTGTAAGGTATCCTTTTAGGTCATTTTTAAATTATTCTCTTCTGGGTTTGTATCTTGGGCATTTCCTGGTATCATGATAGTTTTTTTTTTTAATTTATCTACTTATTTACTATTCATGAATTGAGACTTTGTATTAGGGTCAGTTTTTTAAACTTCTGGCAGGATTGTTGTGATTTTATACAGTCCTGGTCTGTCTTATTTGTTGTCTTACTACTATATTCTCTGGAATATTATATGCTATATTCTTCTAGGACCACAGGGACAGCTTGGGCTGGGGAGCAGCAAATTTTCAGCAGCCTCTGTGTGTTCTAATCAAGGGCACAGTCTAATTAATACCCTCCAGGACTTTCCAGTCTTCAGAAGCTGGTTTGGGTCTAGGCAATACAGCTGTAGACTTGCCTCCAAGTACAGTTCTAGTAGGCAGTTGCTGGCCCTACCCTGAGCTAGCCATCTAGAAGGTTCTGCCCGTTCACAGAAATAGCATGACCTGCTAATTCCTACTTTTTTGCCAGGGGGTTGAATCTCACTTTATTGAGTCAGAGGGACAGTGCTGCCATCCCTGTTCTAGGACCTAAGTCTGCTATTCCCTCTTTTAGTTGGACAGACATTACTGAATCTGTGTTCTTGTTCCCAGAATGTACCTATGATCATTTCTTTGGCATCAGATCAATAACACTGTGGCTTGGTACAAGTCTGTAAGCACCCTACCCCTGTTCTGTCCCTAGGTGTGAGATCATGATCCCCTCTGAGTGTCAGAAGACGTAGCTGTGAGGCCTTATTCTAAGGGTAGGGTTGAGTTGGCCAATCCCTGTCTGGGATCAGAGCAACAGTGCTTCAGTTCTGTTAAGCTCCTAGGGTCTGGCTACAAGATCCTCTGTGCCATATTTCCTGCTTTGGTCACTTCTCTCTTAGTAAAATTTGTGATTTTGCATCAGATGACCCACTGTGGTTTCTCCTTAAATTTCCAGATCACTACTTGGTCTGAAATTCTTACATCTCTGCTGGAGTACTTGTGGGAGATGAGGAAGTAGGACTGTACTGCTTCCTCTGATTCTACCATCTTGGCTGGCCTACCTATGTGGCTGTATTTTTAGGGTTACAACTCATCTCTTCATATTATAGAAATAACTTTTGATGTATTTGAATGTTTGTTCTGAGCTAGAAATGTCTTTGAGAGTTTGTGTTTTGCAATACTTATTAAATCCCTTTATCTTGATCAGGGATGCCTTTCTTTATTGACTGGGTTCAGTTAAGTTGGTGGCCTGACAGACATTTGCTTGGAGGTGACAAAAGTTTCTTTCTGGGAAAGTCAGTGAATTGCTTTCCCATAGCCGTATTGTTTACAAGAGATTTCAAGCTGGTACCAACGACTATCCTTATTACCTCACCAATCTAACAGCCTCATTTCTCAGGACTCCTTACTCACACTCCTAACAAACTAAAATGATTTGTTCATACCAGCCTTTGTATATACTGTCTCCTTCACTTGGAAAGCAAGCATTTATACCCAAAATATGTATTGTTGGAGAGAGGCAGCATGGATTAGTTCATAGAGGTTGGTCCTCAGACTCAGAAATACCTTTGACTCAGAATTGCTCAGTGATGCACTGAAAATCACATAACTTCTCAGTGCCCTGGGCAATTCTTTCAGATTCTAAATTTGTCAAGTAATTGATGGTCTTTTCAGTCCAATGACACAAATTCTTTAAACTTCTTTTTGGAAGTTCTTTTATGTGTTGTCTTCTCTCAGTGGAATGTAAGCTCCTTTGAAGGCAGGGACTGTCTTTCTCTTTGCCCGTATTTGTATCTCCAAGGTTTAGCATGGTGCCTGGCACATAGCAAGCCTTAATAAGTTCTTGTTGACTTGACTTGAACTAACAATAATAGTAACTAGCATTTATGTAGCCTAAAATATAATGCCAGGCATGTGCTAAGCAATGTATAAATATTATTTAATTTGATGTTCACAACAACCCTTCATGGCACGTGCTATTACAATCTCCACTTTATAGATGAGAGAACTGAGGCAAACAATGGTTAAGTGACTTATTCAAAGTCACAGAGCTAATAAGAATCTGAAGTCAAATTTGAACTCTACTTCTTGATCTCAGACCCAGTACTCTATGTGCTGTGCCACCTAGCTGTCTGGTCTAGTTTCAGTCAATCAATGAGTAATTTATTAAGTGCCTGCTATGTGGTGCCTGTGGTGCTAAACCACCAATGGAATCTCAGATACAACTCAAAAAGAAATGTCTTCTTAACCTTCCATACCAGACACAAGATTTTCCTGCTCCAGAATCAGGCATTCATTCATTCTCTGATGAAATCCTGTTGATTCTGATTACTCTTCTATTTAGTATCATCTCATGTACTCACTTTGTAGTGTATTAATTTGCATCTGTCTAAGGTTCCATCTGGGCCATTAGCCTTGCATGGAGAACAACTGTTCCATGGTCTGGGATTTCACTTATAATCCCCCACCAGTTGTTTTGCAAATGCTTGTCTTTGATCAATAAAGGAACTAACTGAAAGATTGAGTAGGGCTCAAAGTAATCTCACTACTGTGAAGAACAACTCAAAAGACATGAAGATATAGTTTTGTTTATTAGAAAGAATACCCAGATCGAATCCAGGAGACAGTTTTTTGAAACATGGCTATTTAATTAGCTAGCAGAGAGTTGCTTAAGTGCCGGGGTGTCCCAGCTGTAGGATGGAGATGATAATTGTATTCTTCTTCTTGATGGGTTATTTTGGGGAAAGGCCAGGGCATTGTGAATCATAAAGCAGCATATGAATTGAAGCAATTATTATAAATGGTGAAGGATAATCTCTATGTATTTAGAGATCACGTTACTTAACTTACATTTGGATGCCTATTTTAAATGCAGTAATTATTGACCAACCACTTCTTTGCAGTTTCTTTTCATTGTATTCCTCTTCCAATATCCTGGAAGTCCTCCTCCTTCTCACCCTCCTAGCTTGTCATCAGATACAGTGCTTTAGGATAGAGCTAGGAGGACCCCTGGATAAATCTGTTGGGATAGAAATCCTAAGTAAATCAAGAAGAAAGAGCTATTGTAAAAGGCTTAAGGGGATCAGGTGAAGCAGGAAGGCAGATCTTATCTCTTGGAGGAAACAGCAAGGCAAAGTCCACAGAGCCAAAGGCTTGTATTGTGGATTCAGATCATAGATAGCCAATGGAAGGAAGGATGATGATTTAACAGACAGATTTATTGCTCAGTCTTGTCCAATTCTTCGTGACCCCATTTTGGAGTTTTCTTGGCAAAAATACTGGAGTGGTTTGTCATTCTCCAGTGGTTTTCCTTCTCTAGTTAATTTTACAGATGAGGAACTGAGGCAAACAGGGTTAAGTATCTTGCTTAAAGTCTCAAAGCCAGTAAGTGTATGATGCCCCCTTTGAACTCATGAAGATGAGTTTTCCTGATTTCAATCCCAGTGCTCTATCCACTGTGCCACCTAACTGCACTTAACTGATAGAAGCAGGGGCTAAAAGTGAGTCTGAATATTTAGGTCTCTAGCTTGAGAAAGAATGGAGACAACCCGCTTACCAGTAAAGACCTGCATGGAGACGAGGGAAAGAATTGTCCCAAAATGTCGAGGAAATTTAGGCCACCAGATTTCCTGCTAGTAAACTTTTGACATCTGACTGACATCAGGAGATAATGGGGATGGGTAAAAGAAGAAGGATGAGTCCTTTCATTCCCCCATTTTTTAATATCAATCTTTATTCATAAGCCTCAGGCTCATTAGTGGCTGGGGATGAGAGGACACAATAGCCCCAGGCTTCTCTTATCCTTCTTTATTACAAGACTCTTACTTTCCCCTAATTAAAAATAGCTTGGAGCCCCAAAGGCTGGACAGTGTCTTTCCTCTGGCCAACTCTCTGGGAAAGAATTGTAGAACTGGATGCTATTGGCAAAGTGCAAAATACCATAGTTATGAATGAAAAAAAAAACTTAGGTCCCAAATATATAATTCAATATATATAATGAATATGTAAAACATAATTCATCATATATACTATAATTAATTTTTGAATGCATGAAAGAACAAATGAATGGATGAATGAATACGATAATTCATGAAAAGATGCTGGGCATTTCATAATATATTGGTTAGACTGTATAGCAAAGAATTTACTATCTTATAAGAAGTATAAAAAAATCAGGCTATATTAGACAAACCAGGATATCTAATCATCTTAGGCATAAGTGATAGAGATGTCAATTGATTTATGTGATTTTACTAATCATTATATTAGAAATTTCTAATAAAGAATTCCTAGTTACATAGGACCTTATTGTTATTATTATTTTAACATGTAATCAAACCTGTAGGGCAGCTATGTGGCATAGTGGATAAGAATACTTATGACTTGAGTCAGGAAGACTCATCTTCCTCTATTCAAACCTGGCCTTGGACATTTACTAGCTTGTGTGACCCTGGGCAAGTCATTTAACCGTTTGCCTCAGTTCCTCATCTGTAAAATGAACTGGAGAAGGAAATGGGAAACCACTGCCATATCTTTGCAAGACACTCCCAAATAGGGTCATGAAGAGTTGGACATGACTGAAATGACTGAACAACAACAACAAATTGGAAAGCCAATTCTAGGAAGAAGCAGCGCTATGAAACTGAAAGGGTTTATAGTTAATGTCTGCAGGCTCAAATCAAAGGGCCACCTTTACACTACATACCAGGCACAAAATGGTTTGCTCAACCACTGTTCTGCCATACATATGGAGAACATCTCCAACAAAAAATCACCTATCCCCTAAACAAAAATCAATCTATAAATAACAAAATGAATGAAATTACTGAGAAGATTGCAGTGCAGGACTCTGACTTGGGAATGGGGAGAGGTATGCTCCCTTGGTTGTAGATAGTATGTGGGACTTATGATAAAGGTTGATAGTTCTCTAGTACCCCTTAAACTATTTTTAAGATGACAGAGCCAGAAATTAAAAGTTCACAGAATAATTGTCCTCATTTATTGAGTCCTGCCTGTATCTGTTGTATGGTCTTCATAAACTCTCTATTCCACCAAAATATAGAAAATATGCTGTCAATAGCTTACATGACAAATAAGAACATTAGAAATTTAGCAAAGGAGCTACCTCCCTTACAATTCCATTAAAAATTTACAAAGGACTTTCTTCACACCAACCTTATGCTAAAGAGAGTACAAGTACTATTATCTCCATTTTATGGATGAGGAAACTGGGTCTCAGCGAGGTGGTCTATTTCACAAGGTCATTGAAAGAATCAGAGCAGGTGAATCCAAGCACTTGATTTAAAGGGGTCTAGTTGAAATTGCTTTAATTACAAGCAATGTCTTCTTTTTAACATTCTTTCTTCTAGTTTGGTATTGATTTTGACTCTGGCTCTAACCAGTGTGATAACTGTACATAGCCATCTATTTTCTAAAATGACTTCTTCATCAGTAAATGTTGACTTCCTCTCTGATGAGATAAAGTTAATTTCATTGTTTCTGATGGGTTTGATGCTTACTCTCTTCAGTGCCCACTGATGTTCTTCTCGAAGAAACTATTCATGATGTGCAGGCATAAACCTTCTGAATAATCTAAGTTTATTTTTGTTTATCCTGGCTAAATTTTCCAGCATATTTTTTTTTTACCATTTCTCCCTTGAAGCTACTGCCTCATTTAAGTCACCAAAAGTCAAGGTACTTATCAAGTTCTTTGCAGAATTTTTCTTTTTTTTTGCTTTCTAGAATAGATGCTAGTAGGAAGAATCCTTAATTGCATATCTCCCCTATACTTTCCTAACTTGTTCTATTTTGTAGGTGTTGGCAGAGCTTCTAGTTGGGGGTGAGGAGCTGGAAGTAATAGTTCCATGTCTTATTTTGGGGGTTTGTTTTTCAAATTAAAATAAAATTTTTAGGGTTTTAAGTCCTGAACTGTCTCCCTCCCTCTTCACTCCTCACTAGAGAAGGCCACCATTTCATTTGACATAGATATGTACATATGTAAAACCATATTATTCATACTTCTGTTTGTAAGATCTTTCTCTGGAGGTAGATAGCATCTTCTTTCATGGATCCTTTATAGATGATTTAAATATTTATAATACTCAGAATAGCTTATTTCTTCACAGTTATTCTTCAAACAATATTGCTGTTATCATATACAATGTTTTCTTGGTTCTACTCATTTCACTCTTCATTATTTCATGCAAATCTTTCCATGTTTTTTCTAAAATCAGCCTGCTCATCATTTCTTACAGCACAGTAATATTCCATCACAATCATATACCACAACTTCCCCAATTGATGGGTGTCCCCTCAATTTCCAGTACTTTGCCACCACAAAGAACATATAGGTTATTTTCTTTTTTCTCTGATCACCTTGGGAAATAGACCTAATTGTTATTGCTTGGTCAAAAGGTATAATTCCAGATTACCCTCCAAAATGGCTAGGATTTTTGCTTCCATATTTATTAGTGAAATTGGTCTATAATTTTCTTTCTCTGTGTTTGCTTTTCCTGGTTTAGGTATTAGCACCATATTTGTTTCATAAAAGGAGTTTGGTAGGACTCCTTTGCCTATTATTCCAAATAACTTATTTAATATTAGAATTAGTTGATCTTTGAATCTTTGGTAGAACTCACTTGTGAATCCATCTGGTCCTGATGATTTTTTCTTAGGAAGCTCATTTATGGCCTTTTCAATTTCTTTTTCTAAAATAGGTTTATTTAGATATTCTGTTTTCTCTTCTGCTAATCTAGGCAGTTTACATTTTTGCAAGTGTTCCTCCATTTCACTTAAATTGTTAAATTTATTGGCATGTAATTGGGCAAATAACTTCTTACAGTTTCAATGATTTAATCTTCATTAGTGGTATATTCATTCTTTTCATTTTTGATACTAGTGGTTTGGTTTTCTCTCTCTTTTTAAATCATATTAACCAATGGTTTATCTATTTTATGTTTTTTTCTATAAAACTAACTCCTACTTTAATTAATTCAGTGAGTTTTTTTACATTCAATTTCATTAATCTCACCTTTGATTTTTAGGATTTCCAATTTGGTGTTTAATTGGGCATTTTAAATTTATGTTTGTTTTCTATTTTTTAAATTGCATACCCAATTTGTTGATCTGCTCTTTCTCTATTTTGTTGATGTAAGCATTTAGAGATATAAATTTTCCTCTTCCACTGCTTTTTCTACATCTCATAGGTTTGAGTATGCGATCTCATTATTATCATTCTCTTTAATGAAATTATTTATTGTTTTAATGACTTGTTCTTTAACTCACTCATTCTTTAGGATTAGATTATTTAGAGTCTAATTAAAATTTAATCTGTGTTTCCATAGTCCCTTATTAAATATAATTTTATTGCATTATGATTTTAAAAGGATGCACTTACTATTTCTGATTTTTTTGTATTTAACTATAAGGTTTTTATGCCCTAATATATAGTCAATTTTTCCAAAGGCACTATGTACCACTGAGAAAAAGGTATATTCCTTTCTATTCCCATTCAGTTCTTTCCAGATATCTATCATATCTGGCTCTTCTAAGATTCTGTTAATCTCCTTGACTTCTTTCTTATTTATTTTTTGGTTAGAGTTATCTAGTTCTGAGAGAAGGTTGAATCCCTCACTATTATAGTTTTTCTACCTATTTCCACCTGTAATGCATTTAGCATTTCATTTAACAATTTGGATGTTATAGCATTTGGTGAACATAGGTTTACTATTGATATTACTTCATTATCTGTGTTACCTTTTAACATAACATAGTTTCCCTGTTTATCTCCTTTAATTAAATCCATTTTAGCTTTAACTTTGTCTGAAATCATGTTGCTACCCCTGCTTTTTCTTTTCATCAGCTGAAGGATAATAAATCCTATTCCAGCCCTTTAATTTTACTCTAAGTTTATCTCTCATTTTTAAATGTGTTTCTTGTACATGATATATTATTGGATTCCAATTTTTAATCCATTCTATTCATTTCAATTTTATGGGTGAATCCATCCTATTCACATTCAGACTTATAATTGATATTTTTCCTTACTGTTTATTTTTCTCTCCCCCTCTTTTTACTCCTCAGATGTCTGATTTTCTTCTGACCACACCTCCCTAATCTCTACCCCTTCTAAGAACCCTTCTCTTATCCTCTCCCCTTGCCTTCCTATTTCTTAATCTGTACACCATTTTAAGAATCCCTCTCTTATCCTATCCCCTTGTCCTTCTATTTCTCTATAAGTTAAGGAAGGTTTTATACCCTTTCAGATGTATATGTCACTCCCTCTTTAACCCAGTTCTGATGAGAATAAAGTTCTAGCATTACCAACTCTCCACCTCCTTCTACCCTCTAGGGTAACCATTTTTCCGCTCATGCCTCATTTGTATGAGATAATTGCTCCTACCTCTGCCTACTCAATTTAATTTTTTAGGATCATCCCATACTCAGCTCAACTCCAAGCCTTCTATCTATGCTATGTTCTTTCAAACTACTCTAATAATGAAAACATTCTTAAGAGTTACAGATAATGTTTTCCCATATAAGAAGTAAACATTTTGATCTTATTAAATACCTTTAATTCTTACCTTCTTATGTTTCTCCTGATTCTTGCAAATCATATTTTCTGTTTAGTTTTCACCTTTTCCTCAAAATACCTGGAAGTCCTTAATTCATTAAATATCCATTTTTTTCCTCACAGAATTACATTCAGCTTTTATGCATAAGTTATTCTTGGTTGCAGATCCAGTTCCTTTGCTCTTCAGAATATCATTCTCCATGCTCTTTTAATGTAGAATCTGCTAAATCTTGTGTTATCTTGACTGTAACTCCACAGTATTTAAATTATTTCACTCTAATTGCTTGTAGCATTTTCTCCTTGATCTGGGAGCTTTGAAACTTAGCTACAATATTCCTATGAGTTTTCATCTTGGGATCTTTTCAGGTTGTGATTGGTGAATTTTTTAAAATTTCTGTTTTATCCTCTAGTTCTAAAACTTCAGGGCAATTCTCCTTGATAATTCCTTAAATTATAATGTCTAGACTTTTTTGTAAAAAAAATAACTTTCAAGTAGTCTAACAATTCTTATATTATTTCTTTTCAATCTGTTTTCCAGGTCAGTTATTTTTGTAATGAGATATTTCACAATCTCTTCTATTTTTTCATTCTTTTGATTTTGTTTTATTACTTCTTGGGGTCTTAGGAAGTCATAAGCTTTCCATTGCCCAATTCTAAGTTTTAAGGAGTTGTTTTCTTCTGTAAGTTTTGGGATCTCTATTTCCAATTGGGTTGACTTTCTTTTCATATTTTTTTTGTTTTTCTTACATTATTTTTATTTTTTTCTTCATTTTTCCTCAACTTCTCTCATTTGAGTTTTAAAGTTTTCTTTTTTTTAAGTTCTTCCAAAAACTCTTTTTGGGCTTGTGACCATTTTACATTTTTCTTTGAAGCTTTGGAAGCAGCTGTTTTTGACTTTACTCTCTTCTTTTGAGTTTGAACCCTAATCCTCTCTATCACCTTATTAGTTATCTATGATCAGATTATTTCTCTTTTGCTTACTCATTTTTTTTAAAAGCAGCTAATTTCTTGGCTATTAACTTTATGTTAGAGTTAGGCTCTAATCACGAGGCATGGGGAGTAATGTCTCAGGTTTCAGGTTTTTTGTGCTGTTATTTTTTCAGCTCTATCTGGGGGCCTGACCTCTGGTACTCCTCTCTGCCCCTAAGCCATGCCCACAGCCCCCAGTAGTGCTGTCATTGCAAACACTCTTTTTCTCTGTGGTCCTTCCCATGGCTGTAAACTTCAGCTTACCCCTCTGCCCTGATACCAAAACCAGACACTCCACTTTCTTGTGATTGCCAACAGCCAGCAGGGTCCCTACCCTCTGCTAGCACACTCACCAGCATGTACTCACTCCTCCTTGCCCACAGCTATAGCCTGGGACTGTGACTGGTCAGTGCATCTGGGCTCCATATCCAGCATCAGGAGAGGGCCCTGTAATATTTCCCTGATCAGCCATATGATTCCTCCCCCTCCACTGTCAGTGGGGAGACAGTTTGTGAAGCTGAGGATGCAACTATCACAGTTGCCTTCAGGGTTTGTGGTTTGTTGATTCAGTGGTATCTTCCCCGAGGTACCCTCAACCAGGCCAGAACACCACCCTGGGAGGTCAGGTCTTTCCTAATGTCCTCTTAGGACTTAGAAGTAACTTATTTTAGGTGGACAATTGGTTTACCCTGACTTAAATTTTTTTCTGCCACTCTAAAGTTCACTTTGAGGCATTATTTTCAATTATTTGTGGGGGAATTTGAAAGAGTCAGGTAATTTCCTGCCTTATTCTGCCACCTTTCCCAGAATCCCCTCAATCTAGTTTAGATGTTTAATTGCTACCCTAGAGCCCTTTTCTGGTTGCCCCTGACTCCCTCTCTGTGCTCTCACCCATGGGTGCCTCAAATTAAGGAACACAGTGTTTCCATGTATGAATTAAAATGAGCCAAATAAAAGCCTATTGCTTTGAGCACTGGATGGCTGGTCTAGTTCTCCTTTGAAGCCCCCCTGTAAATTCTAGGGATATTGGAATGGACTAGAACAGATGTCCTACAAAAAATCTGAGTAGAAGAATTCCCTAAAGAAGGCAAGGTTTTTCTAGTGCTCCTATTTACAGATGATATTGCTCTAATTGAGTCAAGCCCCAAGACACTACAAAGTCTCCTCAGTGAAATCTACAGTCATTAAAATGAGATTTATCTAAAAACTATCCACAGGGTGGGATGGGGAGGGGGAGGAGATATTGCCTGAATTGCAGCATGTAATTAGATAGGCTATCCGTTGACTTCATTTGCATATAATACCAATGGACAATGAGTAAATCCCAGAATTGAATAAGAGGAAGATATTGGGGAATCACATTTGGAAAATTAACACAGTACTCTCATTGAACCTAAGCTGTTCATTGTCACAAAACAGCACCCTTAAAAAAATTATGTCTGAGTAATGCTCTGTAGTTGTACGTTGTTAACACCACAATTAAAAAAAAATCCAACATTGTAGGTGACACAAAGGGCAACGGAATAGTGTGTTCATAGGATGTAGTCTATAGTAGCTTACCAATGATGACTTGCATATGAGATGTGATATAAAAGAACTGGTCAAGTACAGGTATGTCTGGAAAACAAGGAAGGCCAATTATAATGCAGGAGTGAGAGATGGCAGTCAGACAGCCAGAGTGCTGCACTGTTTCACACAAAATATTAAAAGGAGCAGAGGAAAGTCTCTAGGGATTTGGGTGGATAATCTCGGGAGACATTACCTTAGATTGCACAGGATAAGAAGGTGTAGAGCCAATGCATTCTGGGCCAGTGGAGGATGTTCTGGTACCAATCATTTCATGAATATAGCTCTAAGTACCTAAACAAGAAATGACAAGACTTGGTAATCAAATGGCCATGAGAGATAATGGAGAAAATTGATAATACCAAGAGTTTTTTTTCCTCCTTAACCCAGTTTTACAGACGAGGAAACTGTGTGGCTTAATGAGATTAACTAACTCACCAGCAGTTATACAGTTATATAGTTAAGTGTCAAAGCAGGATTCTACCCTAGACTTTGTTGAATCCAGTCCAACATTCTATCTACTTTTTCACATTAATTCTTAAAAAAAACCCCAACAACAACAACAACAACAACCCAACACTGAAGTAAGGTCATTGGATCTAGTGATGACTTGGTTAGCTATTGGTGGCCTCTGAGAGGGTAGTTTGGTAGAGTGGTTGGGGCAGATTTTAAGGGATTGTGAAGAAGGTAGATAATAAAGATCTCTAAAGGTTTAAGGTATGATAAATAATACTGGTATTAGCAGTGAGATTTGAGAATGCTAAATGACCTGAGGCAAAACTGACATGGTGACCACCACCCCCTTGATCTTCTCTCCCTTCACATATTCCCTTTTACTTTCAAGGCATTTACTTGGTCCATCATCTTCCTTCTGGCTCCACACAGAGATCTGGCCTCCTCTCCCTGCTGTCTCATTCTCTGGACTCTTCCTTTAGCTACCACCTTCTCTTCTAACAATTAAATTATTTCTGTCTTTTATCCTGTTTCTGTAATGTCTTTTCTCTGTTTTCAAAGGTGACAAGTAGCTAGTATGATAAATGAATCTCTAACAGTAGGATTTCAGGTGCCAGGGAAAGCCCAGTAGTAGGAAGAGTTTTGGTTTAGGGATAAACCAAATTTTTCTCCACCAAATCACAGCCTTCAACTAGCCATCCAAAAAGCTATAACTTCACACCACGACGAGAAGGATTCCTTCAGCACCGTAAATATATATCAAATTATACTATTTGTATCCTGGGAGAGACTATGCAGTCAAATGACTAACTTTATACATTAGAAAAGATGGCTTGTGTGGTTCCTTCCAACTATAGGGTTCTGTGATTCCATTATTGTGTAACTAGATGTCCCTCAGGGCCTTTCTGGCTGCAGCTGTATCATCTATTATCTATGTATATATATGTGTATATATGTGTATATATACATATCTATATCTATCTATATATATATACACACACATATATATGTATATATATACACACACATATATATGTATATACACACACACACACACACACACATATTTATATATAAATCTAGCTACAAGTACCCAAATAAGAATTGACAAGACTTGGTAGTAATCAAATGGCTGTGAGAGATAATGGAGAGGGATATATCTATATATCTATATGTATATATACAATTTCCTTACTGTCAGTCTTGGTTAGCTGTTTCTTCTAAGGCAATAGTATGTTAGTATATTTTACAGTGTATGTGCAGATTATACTTCTTAGTGTATTTGTCACTGGCAAATACCCTAACATACATTTCCCTAAAAAGACATTAATCCATTAAGTCTAGTCCAACAAGTGTAATGGCACAAGGTGCCAGAATTCTACCAGTCTCAAAGTTGAAAGGGAGCTCAAAAGCTATATAAAACAATCTGTAACTGAACAAGATTCTCCTATATAACAGTCCCGAGAAATGGCCTTTCAGCATCTGGTTGTAGACCTCTACTGGGGCAGCATCCCTTATCTTCAGAAGCCACCCCATTCCTTTTAGGGACATTAATTGTGAGAAAGATCTTTTTTACTTTGAATATAAATCTGTCTTTCTGCAACTTCTAACACTATAAATTTCTAAGACAAAGATATTCCTCTCTCTCACTTCAGTCCCCACTATGGAATTTCTCCCACCTTCACCCCATCAAAAAAAAAAAAGTATCTACCTCACTCTCTTTCCTGTTCTTTCTTTCCAATATCCTTCCTCCAGAAAGCTCTTTCTAGGCCAAGACAATCTCCTCTAAATACTGCTAGGGTTGGTTCATGTTGTGCTAACTCAGGAGAAAGCAGGCAATAGTAGGTCCCAAACAGAGATAAGCTATTCAAAGACAGGAAAGAAGTTACAATAAGAGGGCTAGATAGTCCCCCAAGTGAGGAAATACTTGTGATTCTCTTTAGTGTAGTACTCCTAGATTTAACAGTATACATAGAGTTTCAAGATCAAAATAATTTACAATCAATTAAAAAATTAAATAAATCAAAGCATTTATTAAGAACCCACAATGTGCCAGCTAGGTGGTACAATGGATAGAGTGCTGGGCCTGGAGTCATGAAGACCTGAGTTCAAATCTGGCCCCAGATACTTACTAGCTGTGTGACCCTGGGCAAGTCACTTAATCCTGTTTTCTTCAGTTTCCTCATCTGTAAAATGAGCCAGAGAAGGAAATGGCAAAGCACTCCAGTATTTTTGCCAGGAAAACCCAAATGAGGTCACAAAGAGCACTGTGCTGGGTGCTGGTGATACAGACACATAAGGGAAAAAGTTACTGCCCTATCTCAGGGAAGACAACTGGTACACATATTAGGGATGGACAAAACACACACAAAATAAGTGCAAGATAATTTTGAGGGGAAAGGCACTACTAGCAGCTATGGGGCTCAGGAGAGATTTCATGTAGAAAATAGTGCTTGAGCTAGTTCTGCAGGAACGTAGGCAGCCTAAGAGGCAGGGTGTGAAAGGCAACTATGTTCTCGGCATAGGGAACCAGCCAGTGCAAAGGTTTGGAGATGGGAAATGTAATGTCATGCATAAGGAGTAATAACGCTGGTTTGGCTGGATTGTAGAGTGCAAGGAAGGAGGTTTTTGTTTAATATTGGAAAGGTTGGTTGGGCCTGGGATAGGAAGGAATTTAAATGCCAGTAGGGTTTATATTTTACCCTAGAAGCAAAAGGGAGGTAGGAGAATGACATGGTCAGACCTGTACTTTAGGAAAACTCATTTAGAAAAGCTTTGTTCCATGCTTCGTTTTTTTTTTTCATTTTTTTCTGTCTCTACTTTTTAAAAAAATCCCTCTACATTTTGAACCACCACCTGCTGAAGATATGTGGGTTTGTAGAAACATTGAGTTATGACATTGGTAGATCTTTACCTCAGCCTTCTGTTTCATTTTAATTCTAAAATCCAACATCTATCTGACATCGACTTGTAACAAGATTCACTTACACTTTATAAAAAATTGGCAGTGAGACTAACCAGATAAAGATGAAACTTCTTGAATTCAGTAACTGTCATACTTCAGGTCAGAGGATCAAAGATGTAGAATTGGAAGGAACCTTGGAATGCCTTTGGGCCAATGCTCTTGTTTTACAGATGCTACTGAGGCCCAGGTTGGTGAAATAACTGGCCCTCACAAAGTAGTTAGTGGAATAGTCAGGATTCAAAAGCTTGACTCTTTACACTGTCTGACTCTGCTTCACTGCACCTACAAAGAATGGACTTACATCAATCAAGGTAAGGTAGAGACCCACCTGTGTAGACCAAGGGCAAACCACTTAGCTTTTCTGGCTTCAAGTTTTCTCTTCTATAAAACAGGAGGTTTGGACTTCAAAGTTTCCTAGGTCTCTGTCAATTCGAAATCATATGAGCTCAAAACTCACTATTGTCAGTTACCACCTGCGTTTGCTCCAGGCCCATAGCCCATAGTGTCTGCTCCTATGTGCACCTGCAGGGTCTTACCTGCAGCCTAATTAATTTCTGCTATAAACCCACTATCCCTGGTGCTTTCTCTCCCACTGCTATCTCTCTGGTGCCTCACATGCACACGCCTCAACAAATTGTAAATTAATGTTTTTGTTATAATCAGTGATAATTATGCAACTCGCCCACTATCACAATACAATATGGGGATGCGGTGGTAATTATAGGCACACTTTCAAGATACCTCAGCGTCCCTCGTACTGCATCTGAGGTTTATCTGATGGGGTTCTTCTCTTCTTCATGTGTTCATTAAGCCTCAAGTTAGCTAGGTTGGGAAGGCTCCTTTCAGGGCCCCCAGTGAACAGGAAATCATCAGCACTTTTCAGGTATCATACACTAATTCAAGAGTGAGAATGGCTATCACCCTTACTCTGTTACTACTTTTAAGTTGTTTTGTTTTCCTTTTCTGAATGCCGTTATTTCCCTGGATTTTGACATATAAGCTGTTTATGACAGTTGATTTCTCTGAGCACCTGAACCCATTATGCAGCATCATTCATACTTGAAAAACTGTGACAGTTGTGAGCAAATTATATTGGCAGACCCTCAGTGAAGAAAATTACTCAACAGGAGACATTCCGAATCAATTAATCAAAGTATAACTCAGCTGTAATTGGGTGATTCTCTGACACCGGGAAAAAGCAACCACTTTCACTTCCTGTAACACATTTTTGTTTAGTTCTGTTTAAAACCAATGACCTTATTTAGGGCACAGAGGGGGTTCTCAGGAATCAGAACGTGGCCCACTTACCAGAAAGTACTCAAGTTTTCCAGAGATAGCATTCTCATGTACTTTAGTCTGAGATCTCTGCCTCGCTGCCTGAGCACTGTGAAGATACTGAATTTTCTGGTTTTTTTTCCTCCTCATGGTATGCCTGTAATTGGACAAGCACAGAATACGATATGAAAAATCCCAAGTCAGCTTCTGCTGTGGTTGTGATTTTGGAAAATTAGAAAACCTTTACAGGCAAGCTACAGAATTTCCCTGAGCAGGCAAAACTGTACCTTAAAGAGTAGAGTAAGAAAAAGCATGGAGAAGCAAAGCAATTTTTCATAGACACAGGGCAAGATCTTTTTAGGTTCCTGGATTCTTTGGTGCTCTGTTTTTCTTTGTATACTTCCTAAATCTGATATTTTCTCATTGTAAGGTTCTCATTCTTTGACAGTATAATGGACAAAGTATTGGCACTGGAGTCAAAGGGCTTGGGTTCAAATCCTACCTCTCATATTTACTATCTATATGACCTTGGGTAAGTCCCTTATCCTCTCTCAGACCTCCTCAGTTTACTGATATGTAAAATAAGGGAGTTGAATTAAGTGATCTTTAGGGTCTCTTCCAGGTGAAGATTATATTTATAGTCTTAAAAATAATGCAGTATCTACATCACCACCTTGAATAAGTCAGAGAATAATAAATATTTATTTTGAAAACCAAGGACCTAAGGGAAAGGGATAGAGACATAGAAAAAGAAGAATAGAATTGCTGAGTTGGAAAGGACCTTAAAAGTCAGCTTGCCTAGTCTCCTATCACATACTTCAAGTCCCTTTTATAACATCTCTCACAGGTGGTTATACAGCCAGCCTCAGACTACATATTTCAGTGACAGAAAATGCACTGCTGTACATGTTGGGCTCTCTTGATTTTCAAACAGCTCTTTTATAATACTTTAACTTATATTGAACCAAAATTCTTGTAACTTCTACTAGCTTAGCCTTAGTTTTTCCTTTGCAGAGCTATCGAGCTATGGAAAATATATCCCTTCTCTCTTCTACATAATTTTGTTGTTCAGCTGTGTCTGACTCTTCTACTTTTCTTAGCAAAGGTACTGGAGTGGTTTGCATTTTACAGATGAGGAAACTGAGGCAAACAGGGTTAAGTGACTTGCCCAGGGTCACACAGCTAGAAGTGCCTGAGGTCAGATTTGAACTCAGGTCTTTCTGACTCCAGGCCTGGTGCTCTATCCACTTTGAAAACATGCTCCCCATTCCTCCAATGTCTTCTTATGCTCTGGGAAATTAATCCCTAGTTTCTTGCTTTTCTCCTTGTATGACTCCTATCATCCTGGGTGCCCTCTATGGGAAGAACTGGCTTTTAAGTATCCCTAAGATTATACATGGCATGTCAGAGCTGGAAGAGATTGCCTGGAAGAAGGTACCTAGTTCAATCTCCTCATTCTATACATAAAAAAAATGAGGAGCAGATAGATTATTTGTCTTACCCAGGATCTCAACTAGGAAGAGCCCTGGGGAAAAGAAACTAGGTCACCTCATTCCCAATACTATGAGACATCATTGCCTCTCCAAAATGAACACAGAATTCTAGATGGGACATAATTCCCATCATGGAGTATACTAGGTTTATTATGTCCTGTGGCCTGGACACTATCTTCTTATTAATGTATCCTGAGATATGATTAGCTTTTGTTGTCAGACATAGAATGGATTGAGTCATATTGAGCTGGTAGTCCAGTGAAATAACTAACTCTTTTTCACATGTTCTGCTATCTACTCATGCCTTTCCCACTGGGTGTATTGGATTTTTATGACCTAAGTGTAGCTTAATCTTGTTAGTTTCAGTTCCTCATGTCAGCCTGCTGAGATCTTTTGGCTCCAGATCAATATTACTCAATATATTAACCATCCTTCCCAGCTTTGGGTCATCAAAGTTGAGGTTTGCAACCTGTGTCCTCATCCAAGTCATTTATAAACATTTTAAACAGAACAGGGCTGAGGACAGTCTTACTGCCCAACACTGGAGATCTCTTAACAATAATGAATTAATAAGGGTTAATTTTTCTTTTAAACATGTTTGTTCCATCATTTCAGATTTAACATTGTTGTAATTGATGGAGAAAATAGTAAGAAAGAGGAATTGAGTAGTTTGGCATTTTCTTTGTCATGTGTTTATGTTATAGTATATGCCTCAAATAGTAGAGCCACCCTACCCTTTCCTTGTCCTTTTACTTACTCCAAATATCTCTATTTTGAAAGTCCACTCTCCTACCCTTTGGACATATTCTTTAAGAATCCGAGTTCATCAAAGAGCTCCTCATGTGGCCACATCTGTCCTTTTTGATGTCATTTCTTTTTTTTTTTAATCAAGATTATATGCAATTATATTGTCCGAATTTCATTTTTTCCTCTTCCTCTTAAGTTCTTTTCCTTCTTAATGGTCCTGGTTAAGAGATCCATTATCTGTGTCTTTACTGGATTAAAAAAAATTATCTTAAAGTTGAGGGCACACATCTGAGCGTTCAGTTCTATAAACATTTCTTAAGTGACTATGATATGCAGAGTGCTGTGCTAGGCCAAGTGTTCTGTGACTTCACACTATTGGTTACTCCAGACACCTATCATTTTCACTTCACCAGATCCTCTATACTTATCAGAATTAAGTCACAGTAGTGCTTTTTTTGTGTGTGGCAATTGGGATTAAGTGACTTGCCCAAGGTCACACAGCTAGTAAGTGTCAAATGTTTGGTCTGAGGTAAAATTTGAACTCAGGTCCTCCTGATTTCAGGGCCGGCGCTCTATCCACTCTGCCACCTAGCTGCCCCCACAGTAGTGCTTCTTGTTGCTTCCTTAACCTATGGAAAGATAAAATTGTGAGGAAAACAAGAAAAAATTATCAGATGCTCTATTTATAAAGGAATGAAAATTCTACCTTAGTCAGTCAGTAAGCATTTAAGTGTTTTTTTTAATGTGCTAAACAGTGTGCTAAGTATTGGGGATATAAAAAAAGGCAAAAGTACCTGTCTTCAAGGAGCTCACAATCTGCTGGGGGAGACAACATGCAATTATGTACAAATGATCTATATACACATAAACACATGCATATTACATATAAACACACATATACATGCATGTGCATGTAAACTATTAAGTAGTCTTTGCCTACTCTCATTAATATTTAAAATTTACTTTTTTATTATAAATTGGATAATTATTATAATGATCAATTATTATAATAATTATTATTATCCATTGGACATTACCCGTTATTATTCATTGGAGTGTAGAGATCTGATGCATATTCTTCCCATCCCCCTTCCTAACTATTTTCTGCTATGGATTACCTCCTTCATTATGCTTTCATTTCAAGGTTGTATCTGATGTTCTCTAGATAACAATGGTAATAATAAAAATAACAGCTAGCTCATACATAATGCTTTAAGGTTTGCAAAATGATTTACAAATATTATGTCATCTTATCTTCGCAGACACCTTATCTTCACCTACCTGGGAGGTAGGCGCTGTTATTGTCCTCATTTTGCAGATGAAGAAACTGAGGTAGACAGAGCTTAGGGAGTTGCTTGTGCTCATATAATAAATGTCTGAGGCCGGATTTGAACTCAAGTATTCCTGACTCTTGCTGCTCTATCCACTGTACCACCTTCTCATTTTCTACTTCTTGTTTGTTTTTTAAGTAAACCCTCTCTTGCTCAGAGCAGCAAACACTTCCTTTGAGTGAAATCCTTGTTTACTAGTAATGAATATGGCAAAGACATTAATAGCTAGTTTTGATTAAGTACTTTAAGTTTTGTAAAGTGCTTTACATATGTGATCTCATTTGATTCTCATAGCAACCCTGCAGAAGGGATGTCATTATTATCCCCATTTCAAATGAGGAATCTGAGGCTGAGACAGATAAAATGACTTGTCCAGGATTACACATTGTCTAAAACTCCAAACCTCCAAGTATCCAAGAGGGCAGGATTGGAACTCAGGTCTTCCTGACTCCAAGTCAGAACTGTACTACCTGATTACCTTTTCATTTGCTTATTTCTGAGAATTGTGAGATATAACACATATTTCTTGACCCACATGCTTTCAGTGTAGATGGATAACCAATGACATGAATTAGGATAACAAAAAATAATAATATTTTTATGTTGGAAAGAATATAAATTCAAAGAGACCAGATGCAAAGTAAAGCTGAAAGTATTTGGGATTTTGCAAGCCTAATAACACAACTGATGGCTAGTTATAATAGAATGGGCATGTATCAGGAGCCAAGAAAACTAGGTCCCAGAACTGGCTCTTCCCTTCTCTGACTCTGTTAACTAGGCAAGTTGCTTTAATTTCTCCCTGGATTTTGGTTTATCAACTTTATAACAAGGGATTGGACTTTAAAAATAACTCAAGATTTCCTGTATCTTGAATCCCAGAAAATATAAATATCATTTCTATATATATTTTGAAAAATAAATTGTTCATATACTGATTTGAAGTGTTTATTATTGCAAAGGAAAAAGAAGGTTTATGGAAAACAGATCCTCCTCCTTCCTCCCTCTATGAACTCTCATTTTGCCATCAGACAATTCAAAACAGTATATGTTCTGGTACATTTGGAATGAATCATACTTCTTTTTTTAAAGAGTCTTATTCTAGTGAAGTGGGAGGGGAGCTGACTAGGGAAATTGATAACTGAGTCCCTGAATCGATTTGGTGAAATTACAGAGCGTAATAGACCTTTGTCAGAAAGCGGAATTACATTTGGTGGTGGACCTGGGCTCTGGCTCAGAACTGAAGGACATGTTCTTTGGGATGATGGAGCAACTGACCAGTCTTCCTGTTTCCTCAAGAATAGAGGGTTATGTCAAAGATGATTGACAACTAAGTCAGTAGAAACCTACCTCCTTGGTGTTCTATAAGAGAGTTGGAAATAACTCCTTATTCTTTTTTTGGCCCTCCCTCTTTTGGAATGCAACCAGTGCTTTCTCCACCATGGACATCCAATGGGGTAAGTTGGGAGTTTTTCCCTTCCCCTCCCCCATGCGGCAATGTCAGCCACAAGCACATGTCATAAGAACCATGTGCTTGCCTGGGGATCCTGAATCTCTGGTCACATTCTGCTTTCTATTTCCTTCCATAA